GCCTCGTTTAGGCTCGCGAGCCCACTAATTGAAGCTCGACTCGAGCTCATTTAATAAACGAGTCTCATATTTTAGGCTCGGGCTCGTTTAATTCGATCTCGAGTCGAGCTTTTAACGAGTCGATCCAGAATAGCTCACGAGTAGCTCGACTCACTTACACCCCTATTCGCGATTCTCCATCTTCAATGAAAATAAGGGTATTAATATGGATACACATTAATATACTCTAAACTTACTCTCGTAATACATTGACTCTTTTGTCCTAACTTAGGCATCAAATACTATTACTGTCGACATCCCTGATAATTCTTCTGACCTTCATTGTCTATCATTTCACTTTCTATGATATTATCAACCCGAATACGCTAAATACAACAAAAGAAAGGGAAAGGAATGAAAGGAAGTTTATCCCTCTTAATTAACATACATTTAGGTAGATAGATTTCAAGGGGAAAAACATAATCTTTCCTTCCTCTTCTTTAATAAAACCCAAGAACACATTACTTTCCTTCATTCATTTGAAAAAAAATCTAAAGAACACACTTCCTTCCTTTTCATCCCTTACAAAAACTCAAGAACATGGCACAAATATGGGTTGATTGAGAGAGATAGACTTTCTCCTTCATTCATTCTCTTCCCTTTCTTTTCTTTCTTTCCTCTCCCTTCTCATCCCTTCATTTTTAAACTCCAGAACAGAGTGTTAGTGAAAAAGAAAGAAATATTGTACTTCACATTATTTTCATACACAATACATATTCATATTCTCAAGAAATAAAATATAGCTAAAAGAAATGTCTTAAAGCATCCATAATACGAGAAATTTTTCATAAAACTTTTTTTTTTTTTGCCACCTTTTGTCAAATCACCAACCCAAAAAGCTAAGTATTCACTATAAAAAAGGTTTTTCTATAAAAATTTTATGGTCTCATAGTAATATCAATCAAAGACAAAATATATAGATATATGAATTAGTAATATTAAATTGTAAAAAAGCTAGCATAGAGTTTTTTAATTAAAAATATAGACAAAACTGTAAAAATGGTCCCTGTGGTATGCATTTTTTCTAAGGTTTAGTCCAAATGTCGACTTATTTGGCTTCGTGGTCCTTTTGAACTAGTTTCTTTGCGGATTTGGTCCCTCAGTAAATTGAAATGACTGTACTACCCTTTGGGTATTTTATTTTTCATTTTTTTTGATTTTTTTAAATATAATATTTATTTAGTTATTTTAATAATTATTTTAATAATAAAAAAGGGCCCACTTCTCTCTCTCTCTCTCTCTCATACCTCACCAGACCAACCTTCCCCTTCCTTCTTCTTCACTTACAACCAAGAACCACCGCTGCCGGCCACCGGAGCAGCTCCCTCCGCCACTCCCCGCTGCCATGGTAAAAACTCACCACCACCGTGTTTATTTTGTCGAGTACAACAACCACAAACATCCTCCAAACATCCCCGACCCTTACTCCTTCCTCCGCTCGTCTCTCACACGTCGACCTTGCCGGAAGAAATAAACAGAAGCAGCAGGAGTCGCCAGAGCGAGCACCACCGACTGCCACCGTCGTTCTCAGCCCACTCCGCCCCCCCCTGTCGTGACCCACTGCTTCGACCGCCTTCCTTCTTTCCACCGAGGTAAATCACAGTAGCCGCCACCTCCCCCTATCGTGACCCACTACCAAGATTTTCCAATAAACAACATTATATACAAAACAACTTCAAACCAACAAATTAAAGTCCATCCAATGTACCTGGAACGAAATCGGGGATGAGAGGGCCAAATCGAAGACCAAAGATACAGAGATGTAGGTACACACAAAAACATTCAGAAAAACACAACCAATATTTCTCAGAAGCCAAACACCCACCAAGAAATTAAAACCCAGAAATTGATAGAGAGGTGAGAATGGGTCTGATAAACAATCATCAATCTGTAGAGCTAGGGTTGTGAGGCAGAGAATGATAGTTTCAGGGGTAGAGACGGTGGTTTCTTCTCTCTTGATTTTCTTTTTGTTGAAACAAGGTCAAGCCTGTAAAAATCCCATAACAATGTCGGTTCTTTCTGCATTAAATTTTAAGAAATTATGGCAGTTTTAACAGGAGAAGTGAAGTGATTCTAGTGGTATCTTCTCTATTGATTTTCTTTTTGTTGAAACAAGGTATGTTAAAAGAAAAATAGAAAATGACGAAGGTGGAAGAAGGAATAAGATGGGGTTAGGGGAATTGGGTGTGTTTCTTTTCCGAGAGAGAGAGAGAGAGAGAGAGAGAGAGAGAGAGAGAGAGAGAGAGAGAGAGAGAGAGAGAGAGA